TGGAGAAGAGAAAATTCTTGACCTTATCGGGACTTAAACTCTGACCCCTCGGTCATCCAGCCAGTTCTGCAGCAGATGTCCAAAGTTCAGGCTGGCCAAAAATGCTGGCAAAGTAGAATGTGCAAGATGTGCATGAAGCCCTAAACAGCTGGCCCATAGAATGGCACAGAAGAGAGGTGTTAGGTGTACCATCACACGCGAAGCTCTGAAGAAGAGTTTTCACTACAGCCAAACAAGAGTAGAAGTGTACAATGAACAGGAACAAATGGACAATAAACAAAGTGTGCAGTATTGCCATTGGTTTAGAGATTTCAATACTGTCAATGGAAAGAATATTCTGTGTCATATTATTTCTTTACAGATGACACACAGTTTCTTGGATATGTGAACACTCTCTTAGCTGATTTGGTATGTGTTTTAAAAATATGATACAAGTTGCAGATGTGTGTCTACATGCATGTGCAGACCATTCGCGAAATGTGTTTCCTACTCTAGAAGTGCAGGAAAAGTGACATCATCACCCTTTACAATTAAAGAAAATGTGACACAATTACTCTTGGACTCAAAATTACTTTGCATAGTTATGCAAATTGTCAACAGAACAATATATATGGCCATAGAGGGATGCAGACTTGGTCAGTGGGTGGGTCAGTTGGCAACTCGCTACTATCAACACAGTAAATAAAATAAACTAAATAACATAACTTTTCCTCCTCACTAAATGTAATGATTCACAGTTAAGTTCTTAACTTAAGCACTGGAATTTCCTTTTTGTCTGATGAAAGTATTACACAGGGTACATAACATTTATTAAATAAGAACAGAAACCTCAAAAGAAATATCAGTCATATTATCAAATTCAACACCTCATATTTTTCAACTGACCTATTCCAGCGTCATCAGTAGCGACTTGAAGCAGAGCAAATGATGCTCGAGATGGTTCAAGTTCGTATAGCAACAGGCGTGACCAGAGTGGTTTGAACGGCTGCTGTACTACGATGTGGAAAGCAAATNGCCGTCTAGAAAATATGGGACCCTCAACACCTCACAACCCTATGGGCCTCCATGGCTTGTTACAGGGACAGCTTTACCTTTTTTTTAGCATATTTTAACTGAAGATATAATTATGAGCATATGGAAATAGCACTGTGATCCTGCACATAACAAAAGACAAACTGTGTGATGAACTGGCAAGGATCAGTGAGGAAGAGACTACAAATGGATAACAAATTTAAAAATGATGGATATATTTTTATACCTTGAGTTGACAGACCAGATCACTGCTTACCTTGTTGCCCTTCTCATCAACACCTTTTCCTTCCTCTTCCACATGGAAACGTAAATTCTCAAGGAGAATCACAGAACCTTCCTTAGGATTTGCACATGTTTGTTCCACCTCTGGTCCGACACAGTCATTTAGGAATGTCACATCCCTACCAACACAAGACTGATGCACACTTCCAATATCTACTCCTCTAGTTCTAGATCTATAATAACAAATTGGAAATCGGGATGCTTCAGGACAGGGGTACAGGAGACATATTTCAGAAAGTCAAAGACATGACAATATGGTAAGGACAGAAAATATCACTGCCAAGACACTAGACACAAGTGCCATCTATGCTCACATTAACAGAAGCAGGGACACTGCATATCCACCTTCCCCTTACAGGAGAGTATCGGGAGCTCATAATAGTTGCATACATTTTAAAGATTTATTGCCATACATAATTTCAGGACTCTATATTGAATGGTGCTAAAGCTGTTTCCACCTCAGAGGTTTGTGTATCCACCATACTGTTATTACAGACTGTAGGAAATTAAAATGTACACAGTTGAAGTGATACTGAATGGCACACCATTCACAAGTTTTGTGAAAGTCAGCCGACTGGTGCAAATGCTGTGGAAGGAAACATACAGACAGCATGGTGGTCTCATACTCTTTCCCTTAAGACAGGAAACTAGACTGAAAAGCAGCAAGTGGATGTGGTTAAAGTTTGACAGAATGCTGTATGGTATTTCACTCTCTTACTGTACTCAAACAATATGCCTGAAAATTCATCCAAATTCACGAAACCTCAACATACAAAACAAAGAACAAAAGGTTTGTGGAATAATGAGCAGCATGATGAATGACAAATGGTGAATGTATTGAAGCTTCAGAACACTATTTGATGCATATATATTCAAAAAATTAAAGTAAAAAAGTAAATCTATCCCTGTACCAGGTCGTGAAGGCCCATAGGGTTGTGAGACATTGAGGGTCCCACACTATCTAGACAATCAGCTCAAAGATGGTGGTAAGGTTGTCAGCCTTACGCGCCGGCCGCGCTTTACTCCCCAGGAAAATTATTTAATTAATTCCTGGTACTCATTTCTGTTAGAGGCTGAGTAAACTCCAGGGCCTAGTGCGGCTGGAAGGATTAGGTCAACTGAAAAAATCCAATGACCTCATCGGGACTTGAACTCGTAACCTTAAAATTTTATAAATGTCTGTAACTCTTATTAAAAACACTTAACTTATTCATGAAAGAAAATTACATCAAGGAATATTACATTTTAATTTCTGGCAGCCAATACTGTTTGATCATTTCAAAAATGGTGTCAAGAGAATCCTTGATGGTGAGTCAAATCTGCCACCTACCCAGGCTTAAGATGGTAATATGCGTCTGGTTGTGCTATTTGTCACGTCAATTAACATATTCCACATTTTGTGTAAAAGAGGGTGCGATGGGCAAGACATGTAGCATGCATGGAGGGGTGGAGAGGGGAGGGGAGGGAAGGGAAGGGATATATTACATTGTTCTTAGAGAGACAGGCTGGGGTGGTATGGACTGGATTGATCTAGTTCAGGATATGGACCAGTGGAGGCCTCTTGTGAACTCAGTAATGAACCTTCAAGTTTCATAAGATGTTGGGAAATTCTTGAGTAACTTATCAACTAGCAGCTTCTCAAGAAGGACTCAGTTCTATGGAGTTAGTTAGTTAGTTAGTTAGTTAGTTAGTCAGTCAGTTAATAATTAATAATTCAATGTGCAGTTATGTGTCTCTGCTGCATATTAAAGCAAACAGCAACAAAAATAATGTAATTTCCTAATAGTTTAAGCTTCCTGAAAATCACTGACTGACACAGTAAACAAGAGGGGTTTTTCAAAGTCAATGAAACAGTATAAGTAACATAGTTCAGGTTAACATACAATACAATCTCAGTAATCCGGCAGTGCGCTAGTCTGACACATCCAGTAATCCAGTATTAGGTGCCAGACGGGCATCCAAGACCTTGTGCAGGTTTCTATGTACAGCAGAGGATGATTTATGTTCAGCCGAACTTGACAAACTGATTTATTTAGAACCTTGCTAAGTACACAGTGTTTCAGTCCTTCAATACTATACATTCCTGTACAGTACTTTTCATGCAGCCGTGGATTTAATGTGTGCTGAAGATGTCCAGCTCTGACAAATGTAATCATAAAACTTTAAGTGATAAAAGTCCCTGTGCTTAACTAATTAAGCGCTACGCCATGAAGGCATGTGGGGAGTGGATGTACAGATCCACATTTTCTTGACCTCGACACTAGTTGGAGGTGGGTAGTCAGCTTCATGCCCCTGCGGCTTTACCCCCTGGGAAAGGGCCACCAGTATCCATTGGATAGGAGGTTGGGTGGACCCCAGAGCCCGTCTGGATGACTTGGAGAAGAGAAAATTCTTGACCTACCAGTACTCGAACCCTGACCCCTCAGTCATCCATCCCGTAGCCAGTTGCTATACCAACTATGCTAGCCCAGCTCATTAAAGCAGAAATAATTAAGAAACTTGACATGGGCAAAAAACTTATTAATTTGGTGTTGGGCATGCTACAATATACTATATCAAGAAAAATACAGAGAAGATTGTTTTGTGAAAAATACCGGCAGCGGCCCCAGTGACAGGCAGAATCTAAAATCTGGTGATTACCCTGAAGTTGAAGATGCACTTTACACTTGGTTCTTGCAAGAACGTAATAGACACACTCCTATTTTGGGGGAAATTATTCAGAGAAGGCAAAATATTTTTACAAATTGATCATGAAAAAAGATGATTTCAATGATGGTTAAATGGATGGTTAAATAAATTTAAGAAGGAATTAGAAGAAGAAAATATTCTGTGACATCTCTGCTGTTGATCTTTTGTGAAGTGTATAACGCAGACAAAAGTGGTCTATTTTTGAGGCTCTTGCCCACAAAAACTTTTGTCCACCAAGCTGAAGAAAGTGCAGCTGGGTGAAAAATGCCCAAAGACAGAATTATGTTCATGCCTTCTTCAAATGCAAATGGCATCCACAAATTTGAAATGCTGGTGATTGCTAAGGAGGCAAAGCTGAAAGCATTTAAAAACCAGTCTTCCAGTCATATACCAAAGCCAAAGCCATGGCTGGGTAACATGAGAAGTGTTTACTAAATAGTTCCATGAAAGTTTTGAGCCATAAGTAAATACATTTCTTAAAAAGGAAAATTTACCAGTTAAAGCATTATTAATTTCAGACAATGCTCCTGGACATCCAATTAAGTGAAGAACAGTTAAAAACCAGAGATGGTGTAATAGAGGTAATGTTCATATTGCCAAATTGCACCCCACTTCTACAATCAGTGTATCAGAATGTTATACAGTTTGTGAAGTTACATTATATAAAGACCCTTCTATGCAGTGTAATAAGCCAAAATGATATCATTCAATGTCTGAAACGAACAAGACTCAAAGACATAGTTTTCAATCTTGCATATGCATGGCAAAGTGTACCTCCTAAAACCATAACTTCTTCTTGGAAAAAGTTGTGGCCTTCACATCCATTACCTTCTGGTAGCAGTGAACTCCCAGGGCCAGATGAACTGGAGAATGATGGTACAGCCCTAACTTATGATCTCCAAGAAGCAATAGCCGAACTGTGTGAAAAGGTTCATCAGGTCCAACAATTGCTGACATAAGCATTTAGGCAGATTTGGTGAATTAATTTAATCTTATTTAAGTGCTAGGTATCAAAGAGTAACAATTAAGTTGTTGTATGCTTCAAATTATGTTTCAGCTTTGAATTAGTTAAACATGGAGTTCCCCAGAGGTCAATTCTTGGACCCTTATTGTTTTTATTTTATATAAATGATCTAGCTCAGTTAATAAAAGGCAAAGCCTTACCGATACTTTTGCAGATGATGATACTAGATTTATAATACAAATTCTGTTTCAGTGAAGATGGACCAAGATGTTAAAGTAGTTCTGAAGATTACACAAAAGTAGTTTAACACAAATAGAATGCCATTAAATTACGACAAGACTAACTTTATGCAGTTCTTTCCAAATACTAGTCATCGGACTTTGGATACCACTGAATTCAATAATTATAAAATTAATTCTTACTAATTCCATTAAATTTTTAGGTATCATAATAGAATCTTAACTGACATGGAAAGAACATATTAATTATATAAATTCATAGTTAAATTCATTAGGTTACATAGTTTGTTCCCTCAGATCTGTATTAGGATAGAAAATTCTAAAACACATCTACTTCTGTTATGTTCATTCAGTGTTAAATTATGGTATCATGTTCTGGGGTAATTTGCCACACAGTAATCTATTTTCACAACCCAGAAACTAACTGTAAGAATTATCATGAAAGCTAAAGCAAAGGACTTCTGTAAGGAAATGTTTAGTAAACTTGGAATTTTAACTCTTTACTCCCAATACATTTTTCCAACTCTTATGTTTGTTGTAAAGCACAAAGGATTTATTCACAATAAATATTGAATTGCATAAAATAAATACCCATCAAAAATTCACATTCCTTTAGCAAGTCTAACTAAAGTCCAAAAAGGAGTCTATTATTCTGGTATTACATTATTTTACTCTCAACTGCTCAATATCAAGCAAGTTGCACATGACATTAAAAAATTTAAACATAAACTGAGAAAGTTTCTTACAGCAAACGCATTTTATTCTGTTGAAGAGTATCTTGATAGGAATAATAAATTTGGTCTTGGGGTACCCCAGTAATTATAACTTTGTATTTTAGTTTGCATCCATTAGTTCCTAATATATTTTTTAATTGTTATTTACCTTATGTTAAGACAATCTTATGTAATATATCAATGTAATCTACTGATAATTTCTATATCCAATGGTTATGTACATGAATGGATCAATGAATGATAATAAAATTAATTAATTAATAATTGGCTAGCTGGAAGTGAGGAGGTAAATTTTCAAACCATGACAGATGAAGAGATAATCAACAATGTGCCAGAAGACAACAACAGCGAGAATGAACAAGAGTCGAGTACTCCACTGATTATCCGCACAATGTGACACGATCACGCCATGGGTGCCTTCAACAAGTGTTATAAATTGGCCGAAGAAAACGTGCAAGCTAAAGACATCCTCACAGTGAAAAGATTGCAAGAAGAAGTTCTAGCAGAGACTACTTAGAAACAAAAGACAGAAAACAAGTGACACTTTTTTTTTTTGTAAAACGCAGTGAAATGAAGCCCTAAATATTGAATTAATGGGTAAAAATTCACAGTACACATGTGTAAAATAAATAAATGATGATAAATTCTCTTAAATTATAATCAATTCTAAAACTTCTATGTTGTGCAGTACAACTTAATAAATTTGTTCTGACTCTTTCCTGTAATCAGATGTTTCTAGTAATCCAACAGTACCTTGGTTCATATATGTCGGATTACCAAGACTGTGCTGTATATCATCCTAAAAGAGCCATCGTAAGTCGGTATAGCAACTGGCTACAGGCTGGACAACAGAGGGGTCAGAGTCTCAGTAGGGTAAAAATTTTTTTCATGTCATTCAGACTGGTTCTGCCACACACCCAGCCTCCTTTCCAATGGGTACCTATAGCAAGTGCCCAAATCAAGAAAAAGTAGACTTATACATCCACTCACACATGTGCCTTCATGATGTAGTGCTTAACTAGTTAAGCACATGGACAACTTTACTTTATACATCCATCCAATGGGCAAACGTTTATTGCAAAATCTGGGTACCACATATGAATTGCAAATTATAAATTAAAGACACTAATCAAACCTGTCCAAGAGTTTCTGCAGTTCAGCTGCTACTGGTTTTAAAGTGTACTTTTGATTCTTCAGACCATCAGGACGACCAAGATGGGATATGAGAACAACGGATTTTGCTTCCTTTTCAAGAGCATACTTAATGGTATCGAGGGCAGCAACGATGCGCTGATTATTGGTGATCACCCCTTCTTTTAAAGGGACATTAAAATCCACTCTGAAAATTATTAGAGATCAAAATAAGGGTATACCCAAATGTCACATAACTTCATGGCGAATGCAGAAATGTCAAGTATAATATACAAAATTTAGTTACTAACCTCATCAAAATCCGTTTACCAGCAAGATCTAGGCTGTCAATTGCCAACTTGTTTAATGCCATGATGGAAATACCACAACAATTCGCAAACTAAGTTCAAACCATCCACACAACGCTCCAAATTAAGTCACCTTCAGCTTCGGAAGGTCATTCAAAACTTATATTTCATCATAGCTAATGTAATAGCAATTTAAGATATGATAACAAAATTATTTTTCGTATCAGAGTAGTCACATAAAGGACTCTGTGAAACACTGATTAGAGCTATCACAAGAGTCATTATATTAGTCATAAATATTTCAGTTGATACTAGTTGTACAGGTCGATCGGAACGACCACAACAAACTTTTCGAATTTCTTTCCAGCGGTCTAAAATATATCTATTACAAAGATTGAGAGAATGTAAATGACAAAATGTAACGGTAAATGGGTGCACTACTACATTAAATCGGCTACGGTAACGCTGAACGTATTTATAATCTTCGTATAGGTAAGGTGGGCCTCACACTCTGGTATTTATCATCCCAAAGAAAAAATATTTAGTAATAAGCATTGAACTACGAACAATGTGCATTAGATTTCTTCAGCATATACAGTCAATGACTTACTATAGCTATAGTCTGTGTGTGGCGCACAATGCGAATGACATACGTTTCCGCGTTCTAAATCACGGAACTTAAAGCACGTTAAAGCAATAGTTTTCGGTTAGATGGTAACCAATCGATTTTAAACGCAACAGGGTTCTTGCAGTCCGCAGTTTGTTGTCCCAGAAACAAATGTTTTTTCCGTGTAGGAGGTTGACGTTCATATTGCAATCTAAACCGACGCTGGACAGCCCTAAGAAATTGCAACTCTGCTAGCCACAACATTCACTTAAACTGTTCCTGCGGTGTTGACAGTGTTACTGAGCTTGCTGAAGCTCACCAGCTGGCGCTCGCGGGTATGCCAGGCATTAAAGGAAACTTTCAGAGTTTTCCTTCCGATGACATAAACCGGATATGTGTATGACAATTAAATTCCAAGATATACTTCTTTTTTTTACTTTGGATACCTTTCATCTGGACACTCTGTATTGTTTTGTGTGTGTTTGATGACAGATTCAGTGGCCAGCTATCTGTCAAGGTGATTATGATAGTTTAGGCCCCGTAAAAGTAGACTAATTCTTAATTCGTATACAAAAGTGCATCAGAGCCTGTAAAGTTTCAGAAAATACAGCTACGTAAAATAGAAAATTTTGAAAATTAAAAAAAGAGTATATAAATAATTATTTTTATTTCTTCCCTCTTGTTCTTCCTTCTCCACTCGTCTCTTTTCTCCTTCCTTTATCGTTCTTCTTTCCTTGTTTCTATCTTCGTCTTGTGGAAAACTTTTTTTTTATTATTGTCATGTGGGTTGAGACTGAGTCCACTTGGTACGTCGGCCTATTGTACCAGCTCCGGATGATAGATGGGTATGGAGCATTTGGTGGAATAAGAATTGGCAGGGGAAAACCGAAATACTCAGAGAAAACCTGATCCAGTGCCACTTTGTCCAATCACAAATCCCTGGGCTGAAATCTCGGCTGCCGTGGTGACAGACTGGTGGCTAAACGTCTGGGCTTCAGGCCGCGCCATAGCTCAAGCGGTTAGTCGCTGGCTTCCCACCACGGCGGCCCGGGTTCGATCCCGGGTCTGGTCAAGTGAGATTTGTGGTGGACAAAGTGGNAGGTTTTCTCCGAGTACTTCGGTTTCCCCTGCCAATCTTCATTCCACCAATTGCTCCACATTCACCCTCGCCTATCATCTGGGGCTGGTACAATAGGCCAGAAATGGCAGCAGTACAAGGGACTTAGCCCCACCCCACTAACAATAAAAGAAATTATAAAAAGAATATCGTCTGGGCTAAGGTACGGCCATAACATAGAAACAAAGCTATACGTGCTTGCAGAAGGAAATTCAACACTAAGAGTGGGAAAGTGCCTTTAATGGGCCTTTATTTTCCACGTGTTCTCCAATTCATCTCTCACAACCCATGCAGCTGAGACACATCACTTAAGCACACCAATAAACAAATAATAATAAAACATTTGGTGTAAGAAATAGAACTGTACTGTCGATCTGAACGGGCTACGCAATATTAGATTTTACTTCTTTCTTTGTTTGTTTTGCAGATAGGAATTTTGTCAGTTCTGTTGCTAGCAGTAATTCATTTAACAATTTAAGCATGACCCATATGGGTCTCCAATGAATGTTATAGTAACAGTTTAAATGTTGAATTCACAGTTCTAAATTCTTCAGTGTGAAGTGACATCACAGCAGTGGCGGCTCGTAGCTTTCTTATGTGCTGGGCTAGTCACTTTAATCAGTGGAAATCGAAATTCGATTAATTTTGCACATATAACCCAATAAGTAATAAAATAAGTTATTTTAGACTTTACTACTATGTCCAGAGCTCCATGCGTGTAAACACAATATAACTTAACATTTAAATTAAATTATTATCTTATTTATACAGGAACTCTCCTCTTCTGTCTTTCTGGATGGCAAATAGGTCAATCACTCGCTTTTTAAATTGAGGTATTTCTTAAATTACATCTTTATGAATGCTGAGGACAGGTAGTGTATTCATTTTATGGTCCACAGTACTCCACTCCGGTACACAATACAATATATAAAGAAAAATTAAAGTTCACAATAGCACTTGATTTAAACAGGCCTAATACGAATTCACTTTGATAAAGTTATTGTAAATAACCAACCACTTCTTTTCGTGACGGAAAAATGGCAAGACTGACCATTCAATTGTGAAATGCTTCTAACTCCCATCTCGGCCAATAGAGTCTCTCAGAGAGTGGTGCTCGTCAAAAAAGTTCCGTTGCTTTGAGAAGTCAGTGTTACTAGGAGTTCCCCGTGCAGCTGTCTGAACTCTAGCCTGAATGATACAGTGCAGTTCGCGCATCTTGTAACATGTTCCATGTCTAAAGAGTTAGTCAGCCCAAGCCCAATGGTGAATGTTTTACGGGTGACAACCCCTCTACATTTTAACACTCTGTATCAGTTCTACCGCGGGAGGTTGATCCCTGTAAAGTGGCTCCAACTGGGCTTGGAGATCCCAGCCCCATGCTTCCTTCAAACTTGTCCAGTTCCCCACGAAATCGTTCCTACCGGCGCAAGCAGCACCAAACCACCGGCGGGGCAAACCGGCTGAACGACCGTAAAGAATTTGTCTACTACAAAGGAGCAAATTCTGCCAGCGCAAACGGCCCTTTTCAGGGCCAGCCAACTTTTGAAGATCGACATTCCACATAGCTTCTGTACATATTCTGTACATTCAATTGATACAATTTAATATATACACTTGTTATAGTTTTACGTGGTTGTCTTTTAGAATATCGACAACCCCACAAACACATAAGTAGAAAGAGAAAAAGACAATTCACCAAACTTCCTATTCGTTTCTGTAAAGAAACAACCAACCACCATAACAGGAATAGGTTAAAGGAATGAAAATTAGGTGATGTACCTACTGTAGTAGTTCCTTAAGTACATTTTCCTTTAAATAAAAAATATTGCTTTGTAATTAGAAAAATATTGTACATATTTCTTTTGATCAATTGCCTTCACAGTTCACTCGCAGAGCATCTATAATTGCATGAATGTATTTTTACGTGAGCTGTTCACAAATTCTGTGACTCAGTTTCTCTAATGACAATAGGTTCTGCTGCAATATTTAATAATGCAATTCTACGTGCAGGAGGCACACTGCGTATCCAGTACGAAGGCCCGCTATTTAATGCTGTTTAAGGAGGCAATTGCTGCCTATTCTGAGAATTACAGTGGAGTTTCAGCTTACGCAGTGGTTACATTCCAAAGGCGGGGAGTAAAGCCAAAATTTCATAGTCAGAATTTCCCTTATATATATATAGACACACACAAGTTAAAGAGCCGGGGTAACGTAGTCAGTATAGCGACTGGCTATAGGGTCGGAGTTGAGTCCCGGTAGGGTCAAGAATTTTCTCTTCTCCAAATCGTCCAGACTGACTCTGGGTCCACACAACCTCTCATCCAATGGGTACCGGGGGCTCTTTCCCCGGAGATAAAGCTGACCACTCACCTCCAGCTATTGCCGAGGTGAAGAAAATGTGGATCTACATATCCACTACCCCATACGCCTTCATGGTGTAGTGCTTAATTTGTTGAGCAAAGGGACAACTTTACCTTTTTTTATATACAAGTTAAACGTACGGTAATTTTTTTATCTACATAAAAGCAGAGAGAGGGAAGAATGAAAGAATAAGAAAGGAGCAAAGTAAATCCCAAATCTCACCATTCATCCTAGAGATTCTGATGATTATGCTAATTATCACTGAGTGGCGCGGGGTGCGGAATCGCAGGCGCTGTTTAGATTTCCATTCTTCTGTTTTTTTGGGGGGGGACACGTGGTTGAATTCGCGTAAATTAAATGCGTGTACGCATACGAAACAGATAACTACAACATCCGGGAAAATGCTCAGTATATAAATGTTATAACAGTTGTTTTTATGTCTAATAATGAATATGTAAGATTTGAGGGTTTCACGGCGGTGACCATGAAGAAAGCCGTCTTCTGGGATGTGGCGCCGCGTAGGAATCCCAGAAGACGGCTTTCTTAATAATGAATACTTTGGAGCGATCGTGTAGCATTATGGACAGCATCTGAGGTAAATAAAATCGAATTCCAAAATTCAAAATGTTTGCATGCATCAATGTACTCATATCTACTTCTTTGCCCAGTGCAAGTCATAAGGTTAAACAAACCTGTCCAAAAGTTTCTGAAGTTCAGCCGCTACTGGTTTCAATGTGTATTTTAAATTTCTCTGCCCACCAGGGCGACTCATGTGAGACATGAGAACAACGGATTTTGCCTCCTTTTCAAGGGCATACTTTATGGTGTCGAGAGTAGCCCTAATGCGGTGGTTGTTTGTAATGAACCCTTCTTTTACGGGCACGTTGAAATCCACTCTGAAAATGGATGTCGACATGAGAATATATTAATAAAAGTAAGTAAAGTAGGGCTGTGAGACGTTGAGGGTCCCACACTATCTAGACAATCGGCTCAAAGATGGCGGTAAAGTTGTCAGCCTTACGCGCCGGTCGCGCTTTACTCCCCAGGAAAATTATTTAATTAATTCCTGGTACTCATTTCTGTTAGAGGCTGAGTAAACCCCAGGGCCTAGTGCGGCTGGAAGGATTAGGTCAACTGAAAAAAATCCGATGGCCTCATCGGGACTTGAACCCGCGACCTTCCGGCTTGTAGCATAGCCCCTCAACCAACTACGCTATCGCGTGCCCCGAAAATATATTAATAGTCCATATAAATGACACAATTTCTCCTTACCAGAAATTATAGTAGGCTATGTTACTGACCTCATCAGAATCCGTTTGCGAACAATATTCAGATTGTCAATAACCAACTTTTTAAATGACATATTGCGGTTCTTTTGGCTTTGCAACCAGAAAAATCTCAGACATCTAACCAGCCACTCAACTTCACGCACTTCAGCCTTCGAAAAACCATCCACAAGTTACAACATTTCATCGATTACTTGTAAATTTTTAACGGTATAAAAAATTATTTAAATTTTGCTTAGCAATTACATTCATACAGAAACCACGATGCTAGCAGTAAAATACAATAGTAACTGCCAGTATTAACAACTTGCATTTCCCTCAGAACATCCGTACTATGAGATATGTCAAGTGCCAGGTCAGGGGCGATGCTTCAACAAAGGTCGAAGTCCTGATATCCCGTGTTAGTCTGCTCATATTATCGCACACATCTGGAATTATGATATATAACTTTGGGAATTTGGCGCAGTGATGATTAGTTTGGGAAAAAATTGGGTATTAACAAACAGACGGGCTGTGCCATTCGGAATGTCTGAACCAGCGCCTTCGGGAGAAGCCTGAATATAATTATCTGAAGAGCGGCAAAGCTACTATGTGTTTCTATTACTTTAAAAATATACACCTAAGGCGGCTGCTATACCTGCTAGGCGGCTGGGGTAGCAGACACATCCTTGAACAGTTTTAGTTTTCATTTCTGTGGTAACGGTCTGCCTACGTATGCGTTGTCGCGTGAACGTGACTACAGAGCCGTTGTCTAGCAATGGATGTCCGCTCTGACTCCTATATTCCGACTTTTAGGCGGCATGTCACATCATTATAAGAGAGGGGCGCTCGGTAGAGTAGTTGGTTGGGGAACTATGCTACAAGCCAGCAGGTCTTGGGTTTGATTCCTTATGAGGTCATTTGATTTTTCAATTGACTTAATCCTTCCAGCCGCACTGTGACCCTAGGGTCAACTCAACTTCTAGCTTAAATGAATACCAGGAATCTTCCTTGGGACAAAGTGTGGCCGGCGCATAAGGCTAACAACCTCATTGCCATCTGTGAGCCAATTGTCTAGAAAATGTGGAGCCTCGATGTCTCACAAAACTATGGGCCTCCATAGCCTGTTATACACAATAAGAAACCCCAGAGTAATGAAGCATCTGTGCCTTGGTATATCTGTCATGCCTATAACATGGCGTTCATTTCAAATCACGTTAATTTGTGATAGGAACACACACACACACACGATTATAACAATCAGTCCACCTTTAAATGATGAATGCAGGCTAAAGGTTGGATATGGTTTTCATGCAACTGAATAAGAACAGAAGATATCTACTGTAACACTAAGAACAAAAAGTTCGCTTGAATATGCTATTAATAGACAGGCCCTTTGAATTCAGTATCATACGACTTCTTGTCTGTAGACTTTGTGCTTACGTCTGAACATATTTACATACGTCCTCAAAATAAAATGTTAAACACGAAGTGATAATAGTGCTTTAGGCTTATCAGACATGCAGGTCAGTATGTTGGCCTCTGGAGTGCAATGAAAAGAACAACAGAACAGACATGATGGCAGACTTCTGCTCCACCTTAGTTCATTGTAGGAGTGAGGTAAGGCAGCTCCTTGGTGCTGCAGCCTCAAATGTGTCTGTTGTTGCAGCCCTTAAGTAAAAAGTAAAGCTATCCCTGTAACAGGCCGTGAAGACCCATAGGGTTGTGAGACGTTAAGGGTCCCACATTATCTAGACAATCGGCTCATAGATGGCGGTAAGGTTGTCAGCCTTATGCGCTTCACTTCCCAGGAAAATTATTTAATTAATTCCTGGAACTCATTTTTGTTAGAGGCTGAGTAAACCCCAGTGCCTAGTGCGGCCGGAAGGATTAGGTCAACTGAAAAAATCCAATAACCTCATTGGGACTTGAACCCGTGGCCTTCTGGCTTAATGACAAATAAATATAAAGAATTGGTGGGATGATAACTGCTTCATTGCCACAAATCCCACCCTGTCACATGCGGAGAGAGGCTAGCAACTAAATACTGAAATGTTGGCTCTATCTTGCCTTATTCTGAGCACTACTCATAGTTCATATTGCCACATGTCAAAAATAATGGGTTCTAGTTTGGATGATTGGATTCATTAGCACCTTGGTTATAAGTTCTCTTAATCACACTTAAATACAGCGCTATCACTGCTTTACACAATATCCTGTTCACCGTTACACATGCACTGGTGTCTGTCTTCACTAGTCATTTCCTTGCAACGGATCTCAACACAGGAACTAGCACATCAACTCACTATGAAGTATCCTTGTTATTTATTTTTCAATCACTCTGGAACCTTGGAACTAAAAATTCTTCTGAACTCACTCCTCAGGCTTACGCCTGACTCATAACCGCCCAGAACGAATCCAAAGTCAAAGTTTCTTTACGACTGGCGGTTTACCGCCAATCGGTTCGTCTTGGCGTCAGGGAGTACAAAGTATGAAGTTCCTCATCATACAGTGTTCTCCAGCCTCATCTGACTTCATCTTAGGCTGGGACAATCTCGTCAGCACCACCCTGTTCAGAAACACTTTCAATCTATATTTTTCTTTCACACTCATACAAAACAAGAGGCATGGAGGAGACACAAGTACTATGTGATAAGGAAACCATCTTATCTCCATTGAAAACCATGATCAGCATGCTCAAAGAAGATTCAACGCAGCTTTGACTCCAAAACCATTACTTGCTCAGTATTTCTGTTTCAATGAGAAAAAGAACTGCTCCACAGATTATCATGGTGTGTAACTAGATTAACATGATAATTTTAGGGTATATAATTTGTATCTGTTATCTTCTATCAATAAACATGTTTTTGACTATAACAATTTTTACCTTCTACTGGTGCACATGATTTCAGTACAGAGCAGGGAAATTTACATTACATGTTTTCTGTCCAGTTTGTATAATATTCTGTTTAAAAAGCTCTGAACAAACGACAATGTCAAAAATAATAGTTATCTTTACTGTAACACACAGTCAGATATACGTGTATTTTCACTTGTGATGAGTTTATCATATAAATTATTTGGGATGATGCTCAGGGCAATGAGGATGAAAGAAAGAAAGAAAGAAAGAAAGAAACAGAAAACAGAACTTATTCATACAAGGTGTGGCAATAAAGAACCCGGATTACTTTTATGACTCATTTCCGGCCACGTCATTGACGAAGAGGAGGGTAGGGCATTGACCCTTGGACTTCCCTCTACCGTCACACAAAGTTTCATTCACGTGCATCGGTTAGTCTGGCCGCGACCATTGTTAGAAGCGGATCGTGTTTCTGAGCTCCGTCGGAATAATGCTGAGTGCTAATGCAGAACAACGTGCTAACATCAAATTCCTCACAAAACTTGGAAAATCTGCCACTGAAACTTACAATTTGTTGACAGAAGTATATGGTGATCAGTGTCTATCTCGCACGCAAGTTTTCGAGTGGTTTAAGAAGTTTATGGAGGGTAGGAAAAACGTCGGGAACGATCCAAAATCGGGCCGTCCTCCCACTGCGAAAACTCCAGAGAATGTGGAGAAGGTCGCTAGAATTGTTCGAAGAGATCGTCGACTGAGCATTCGAGCAATTTCTGAACTTACGAACATCAATAAGGAAAGTGTTAGACAGATTTTGCACGACGATCTGGGCATGAAAAAGGTGTGTGCTAAAGTGGTGCCAAAAATCCTTACCCCCCAGCAAAAGGAACATCGAGTGAATTGCTGTGTTGACACTCTTGAAAACATTGAAAATGATCCTGATTTCTTCCAAAACGTAATTACGTGTGACGAAACTTGGATTCTTCAATATGATCCAGAGACTAAGCGACAATCCATGCATTGGAAGAGCCCCAAATCCCCTAGGAAGAAGAAAGCGCGCATGAGCAAGTCCAAATTCAAAGCAATGATGATTGTTTTTTTCGATATCCGGGGGGTAATCTACATTGATTGGGTGCCTGAAGGTCAGACTGTCAATCAGGTTTATTATAAAAATGTTTTGACGTACCTCCGTGAACGTGTGCGACGAAGGAGACCAGACATGTGGAAGAATGCCTCATGGGTTCTTCATCACGACAACGCGCCAGCACACAACGCGCTATCTGTGAAGAGGTATTTGGCAAAAAACAACATTCCAGTGATGGAACATCCACCGTATTCTCCGGACCTAGCACCGTGCGACTTTTTTCTCTTCCCAAAAATCAAGTCTGCGCTGAAAGGGACCAGGTTCGAGTCCGTGGATGCAGTGAAAGCAAAAGCGACGCAACTCTTGAAGAGCATAACACAAGATGACCTGCAGCACTGCTTCCAACAGTGGAAAATTCGCATGGAGCGGTGTAGGGATCGGGGAGGGGACTACATTGAAGGGGATAACATTTCGACTGTCTGATTTTTTTTAATAAAGGGTTAGAGCATGAATCCGGTTTCTTTATTGCCACACCTTGTATGCTTCATTTAACTTGAAGCTTGAGTGAGAGAGCCCCACTGGCATTAGCTCTGTTAAGAATGGACGACTGGGAATGAGACTTTGCATGAAAGCAGTACTGATACTGGAGATGATGCTGATACTGATGAGGTGGAAGTTAATAAAGTTTGGGAAACTATTAGAGAGAATATAAAAATTTCTGTCAAGGAGAGTCTAGGTAGAAGAATAAGCCATGGTTCAATGAAGGATGTTCAGAATTATTAGACCATAGAAAACAAGCGAAATTGCAGTGGCCAGTTTTCATTTGTTCCTGGTCAGACTTCATCTTTTCTAGGTTGGTACTAAGCCTGTCCATGTCCCTTTACAGATGTTCCATCCTGTTGGTGATCAGCTGTTACACTGGTTCCACTTTCAATCCATAATCCCACTTGACACTAGTGGCACACGATAAAGACTGCACATGGGGTTCGGTTAGGAAATGGATTCATTTGGCACTAGTTCCTTTTATGTACAAGTGATTATGAGTACTCACTACCATTTGCTATTAGCTGCTTGACTCCTCTCATTTGGTTTCTTGGCACCCTATCATCATAGGTTCCCTGACTAGTTCTGGCATGCTTCCTTATATAGCCCCACACTGGACAACCAAGGCATTGCTGCCTCCAGTAACTCCTGACTGTTGCAAAGGTGGTGGCAGCAATGCCTCCAACAACGCCCCTGATTGTTACACATGTGTTCATTGCTGGGGATGCATTTCCTGTGACGGCATCTAGTAACATGCATCTCTCCGATTTTCTGTAATTCTAACATTCTAAAGTTTCTGGATTTTAAACATCTTGTCACAATGAAATGTTCCTACATTTGACTCCTGTACCAAGGCATGAAATCTAAGCATAAAACTACAGGGTGAATCATACAGAACTGGCATGATGTATTTGCTAATAATTCCGCAGGTGATGCATATAACCGCGAACAATTATGACATAATAATCCGTGGGCCATGCTGAGTCGAATGGTGTGCGCATGATCCGACAAGTGGCAGCCCTTACGCTGCAAGGTCAAGGACAATCCCGAAACGTGTCTGCAGTGTGCAGGCGACAGTCACGGAGTACACTGTTGAACAGTGAGTGTTTCTCGTGCGCACGTACTGGGTGACAGGCTCGACTGCGAACACACAATTGGAATTCAGGAGGAAGTTTGGAGTTTGCAAAGCCAGCAAAATCGACTATACAGTCCTTGGCTCAGAAATTGTAAAGGACAGGGACACTTTTAAGTGAACGTGGTAAAAACCACCCAGAAATGCCAGAAGAAACGATTGCAATTGTGCGGGACAGGTTACTGCAGTCTCCCAAGAAATCATTATGATGTCTAAGCCAAGAAACCGGGTATTCTTATTCATTGTGTCAACAGGCCGCAAAGAAAGCGAATCTTTGTCCCTACAAGATCACCAGTGTTCAGGAATTGGGTGATGTTGATAAAGATAAACGGGTACGGTACTGTTTATGGTTTCGGGAATTCGTGCATGATAACCCCAGAATTTTGGATATCACTTGGTTTAGTGATGAAGCATGGTTCCACCTATCAGGATATGTAAACGCACAAAATTCCAGGATCTGGGCATCTGAAAACCCACATGAGATTGCTGAATCACAACTACACCCACAAAAAGTGGGTGTGTGGTGCGCCATTTCTGGTTTACGAATCATTGGACCGATCTTCTTCGACACACCCGTGGACAGCACCTTATACTGCCGTATTTTTTACGATTTTGTACAGCAGCTGGATGATGTGGAACTTACACAGGGTTATTTCCAGCAGGATTCAGCGACGTGCCACGTGTCCAACATGTCCATGGAACTGATTGAGAGCTTCTTCCCCGATCACGTCATCTCTAAAAAGATGTGGCCCCCAAAATCCCCTGACCTTACCAGCCCGGATTTTTTTCTCTGGGGTTTACTGAAGGACTGGGTGTATGCAAACAAACCGCGTATGTTACAGGATTTAAAGGACAACATTTTGGCTGAAATCAGGAACATCACTGAAGAAACACTGCAGTGAGTCACGGCGAATATGCAAATGTGGGTGGAGGCACGCTTACTTGAAAACAGCGGACACTTTCAACACCTGCTCTGATCATAGCACACAATCCAAGATAAGATATGTGTAAATTACTTTAATATCTGTATGGTATATTTTATATTACAGCTCATTTCATTGGGCCGGTTCTATATGAATCACCCTGTATTAAGAATTCTTTCACTGCAACTGAAACCAAGAATGGAGAAGAGTACTGTGTACTGCTCTGAAGTTACATTTTCCCAATGCAGAATTCAGACAGTTAATTACATACTCCAAACTTGGGTACATTTTCCCAGTTTTCTTCAGTGTTTATTTACTTTATCTGGCATTGCAAGGTTTAACCTTCACTGCCTGTGCACTGTACTATGGCAGTGCATATATACAGGCCTAGCAGGCCTTACATTATAAGTATCATTACCCCCAAGTCAAAGAACAGCTGCCAGCACCATAGTAGTAATCTCCAGTAGTAAAAGGGAATGGACAGACAAATAAATATGACGGAGGTAAGACTTCACACATTCACAAAAAAATGTATCGTTATACATACAAATACTGAATGTACATTTAAGCTGAATATGCATGCCCCAGTTGTTTATTTCCATAAGTAAAAACAAACAATAAATTATAACACTTTTGCTAGTCCAATTCTAGGAACCTATATAAGCCCATCTGATAGCCAATAACACCCAAAGGCATGAAAATTTAAAATACTGCTATCCAGAATATCATCATTCTCACATACATCTTACACTGTTCAGTGTTCTACTTGTGGTACAGCAGACTTTTTATTCCTCACTCTCACACACAACTTTCATTCATATCAAACTTGCTGGATGCAGCATGATTCCCCATTTGTTCTGTTTCTCATACAACCTTCAGTCCCTCACTCAGATACTTCACTTCTTTCAATTCTACAGCTGTAATAAAAATTGACCCCAAGGGCACTGAACACCCACTGTGAATGAAGGAACAGTGTAGATCGCAATATTATATTTAGCAAGTAAACAAGATTCCAGAAGTTTCTGTCATGACACGAAAATCTGTCTTCTACCACCAAAACACACTAATTTTATTTACTTACTTTATTTAAGAAAGCTGTCAGTAGCTCTAACTATGTAGTATCAAATGGTATGATGATTAATGTGTGATGAATGAAAAAGAATACAGAAGAAAGCATCTGTTGCCTATTTGAAGGCATCCCAGCATTTGCCTGGAGGGACTGAGTAAATCCAAGAAAACTTCAATCAGGATATTCAGTTTCCTGACTCAGAATTGAACCACGCAAATTCTGCCTACAAGTCAGAAGTGCTATAACCTAAGCCAACTCAATGATACCATTTCTCCTGGACAGCTAACACAATGACAACTGGCCATACAATTCCTCAACATGATGCTTATATCTACAAAGGATGTAACAGAAGTGATATTTCTGCTGCAAAACGATGATTAGGGTTCATTACTGTAATGTCACAAGAGGAGGAAACATTACTTCAATAATGCACAAGTTTAAATGACCTCTCAGGCAACATTAGAACAAAGCTGGTATTGTGTTGCTGTAGTAAAGATTTAGAATCCATATTCCTGGAAAATAAATATAAAAGTACCAAGTATTTTCATTGTTCTCTCACTGGACCTGGCTCTGGCAAGTTTCAATACATTTCCTTTCATTTCTCATACAAACTTGTTTTATTTCATACATTCCAGAGCTCAAGAAAAAAAAACAGTAGCACAATATCATTTACATAATAAAACTTCATGTACCAGTTCTCTTTTAGAAGAGTATTGTGTGGCAACTGGTTTAACCATAAAGCTTCTAACCAAACTATATAAAACTTTAACAGTAGTTACCATTAGGCAAACACAGCCTCTAGTTAAAAACAAAGTGCATGGGACTCTACGTCACATGACTGAGCATTGCGAGGGATCAGTTGCCCCTGACTCCAGACCAGGCAGACGAGGATTGCCATGTTCATCAAAAGTCACCACAGATCCTAAGTCCCCCACCAAATCCTTTGGTGGCTGACCACAATCTTGCATCTGAAACAAGAAGCAGCATATTTTCAGTTTTTTTTTACACATATATCAACGATATCTTTCATCCTACACAGCAATACACACTACAACTCACCATCCTCATCCATCACTTCCTCTTTAACTGTTATAATATTTGGTGCAGAGTATAAATTATGAAGCTCCTCATTCTATGCAGTTGTTTCCATTCACAGCATTCTTCTTTGTGGATTTTCATTTAATCAATTTAACACAAAAAATTTAAAATTATGGTCTTGTGGGGGAGACAGCACTGAACATTTCAAATGATCCCCAAGAATACACAAACTATGCTATGGGAACTGTTAATTTAGAATATACCAACAACGCATCTCCACCTTGCCATAATGTATTATAATCTTACTTTCTGCATGAGATCGAGGATTGTGTCAAACCTCCTTTTCTTTTCCTCCTGGCTGTCAGAGCTTGACTCTTTTTCCAGCTCTGCACACACCTGCTCCATCAGTGTTTTCTGTTTGCTGAACCTTTCAAACTCCGAAGGCTCAAGCTTCGGCCGATTCTCTTCCAGCCATGCAGGATACTGGAACAAATCACAAGCTCAGTATGATATGTCATGGCTAATACCAGGTGTAAGATATAATATTGTGATGTTTTGCGCTATGCAAGGCATGTGGTTTGTGGACAATGACGCCATCATCCAGACTGTCCGGGAGTGGATACGCTGTCAACCACAAGTTTTTTTTTAAAAAGGGCATCAGGATGCTTCCAGAACGTTGGAAAAAAATGTGTTGACTCTGGAGGGGAGTACGTTGAGGACTGATATGTGCAAGTAAGTGTTTGGCAATTATGGTTTTTCAAAGAAAAATCAGTCCCAGTCATATTTGAACCACCTTGTATCTAGCAGATGTACCCATTCTCCCCCCAATTTCACAACATACAGTAGCTAAAACTTCAAAGGACTAACAAGCTAATCTGTTCATTGTTAATTAATGTCTGGCCTTCACACATATGGTTTCGCAGTACAGATGTGAGATTAAATAAACAGTTCTCCAACTTTGGCACTGGGATTAAACTGACAAAATCAGATATCATCACATTTGAAACACAATACAATCATTAGCTGAAGTATTCAGCACTTTTAACTGGTAAGACATGCACAATAATTAATAAATACACCCACCAATGTGTTTTTGGCTTTATCTAGTAACACATGCATAACAGTTAACTAATACACCCACTAATGAGTTTTTGTCCAAGACACATACGCTTGCCCACACTCACCAATCCACCCACCCACTCGCTTGATCATGCATATGGCTTAAGAAATAAATATATTCCACACTGACCTTGAAATAGAAATAATTGATTTCTGCATCCTACTGTGTTTATTACAAACTGAAATACTTATACCATCAACATAACTATTTAACATTCAATACCTTTTATTTTCCACTAATGGAAACAACTATTCAATATTCAATGTTTTGTTTTTCACTAGTGGAAAATGAAACACACTGAATGTCAAAGAGTTGTCTTGATCCCTACTGGGATGCCAGACCGTTTTCATTTTCCTGAGTTTCTCCAGTGAAATCCCAGAAAGACACCTTACAATAGGTCACAGCCATGTGGTTCTCAACCTATGTTCGCAATACATAATTATTATTTCATATAATCTGGCAGTACATAACCTCTACAGTTCATAAAGTTTTATTACAAAAGTTGTGAACCAACCCTGTTCAGACTCTACATATTTCCTCAAATGCAAACGATGCAGAATTAGTTTAAGTAAACCACATTACTCTTCTCTGTGAAGAAAACATCAATAGCAAGCACAAGTACCCAGTCTTCACCAAGTATATGGTTGCTTTCCATTATATCACAACATACAGCAGCTTACACTTTGAGGAAGGAATAATGCTCAAATTAAAGAAATTAAAATATATTCATGCTAGTTAATTAAAAACAACAAGAATCTGAATCACATCCAAAAACTCTATTGCAATATTTGCACAGTGCTTTAATAGCCATGGTTACTGCATATATTGTCAGAGGAATGGACTATATTAAATATTCTTTAGTCTTCTCTATTATATCCACAGCAGGCCACAGGAAAGTTACATTTTTTTTTTGTATATTTTAATTAATAATACTTTCAGAGTACCTTATCAACAATATCCTTAAGTGCTGGATAAAGAATATCTTTTGAAAGTAGTGACTGCATCATTTGTTGCATGAATGGGAGGAAATCTCCACCTTCTGATCCTTCAGCTATTCCAAGACCACTGAAAATGTTTGCAATGTCCTCTTCTGAGAACTGAGACTGAAAAGAAAGTAATACGTATAATATTACATGGACACAAAATGAGAATGACAAGCAGGGGTTACAAAGTGACTTGAAATCAAATTATGTACATGGGCAACCACCACTGTGATTGCATTTTCCTATGAAATAAGAATGCTATTTATATTTTAAAAGTGAGGGGAGATTTTCATACTTTCAACACCCACCTACATCATTGCTTCATTCAGAAAGGACTTTTCAAACAATTTCTGAACACTTATGATTTCAGCATCTTTTTCTCTTTTCCAGTGACTTAGTAAATTTCCAATTTATTCTTGAATGATGGAAATTTAATCCACATTGGTTATGTTTCCATTACTGACCTGCAAATTCTCTGCACCCTCAGAGAGATTTTTGAGAGTCTGTGAAATTGCTGATGCAAATTCACCATCACTGGCACCAGGTTCATCAGTTATTGCTTTAGCAGCAGCTTCTGCAATTTTTTGGAAGTTGGCCCCCAGATGATCAGGGGTTACAATATCAGAGGAATTACCACCTGTATCACCATACACAAAAATAGTGTCAAGTCTAAAAGTTCCTGATGAAGCTCAGTTATTAAACTGACCCACATGATGAAGACTTCTGGTTATAAACACAGTGTTTCAAAAGCTGTCTCTACTTCCATCATCAGGTAGAAGTATAGAATCACTTATGCTGGGTCCATTAGACGAAACTAATTCCTATCCCCAGTCCATCTAATGGGCATGACATAGTACAATAAAGTTGTTCCTGTGTTTAGTTAATTAAGCTTCATGCCACAGAGACACATGGAGGAATCGATGTATAGCTCTACCATTCTTGACCTCAGCACTTGACTGAGGTGACTGGTCAGTTTCATGCCCATACTGCTTTACCTCCAGGGAAGCAGCCCCAGTACCTCCTGAACATGAGGCTGGGTAGGCGAGGAAGCCATTGTGGAGTAGAGAGAAATCTCTTGTCCTTGTTAGATATCAGACCTCAGACATCCAGCTCACGGTCTGTGCTGTATTGACTGAGCTATCCCAGCTCCTCCAACAAAGAATATTTCATATTTTTATCTGATGATGGAAGCACAACAAGTTTCCTAAACCATGTGTTTTTAACTAAGAACATGTGACAACGTAAAATGTTCAACACACGATAGTTTAAAAACAATGTTAACAAATTTCAGCCAAAACAGCACAGGCCAAGTGTGTGGTGACTAGTCTAGTGAAGACAACGCCACACGCTGCTAGAGGGAACAACACACAAACAAGGGGTATATAATAGATTGCAGACATAGCAAAACAAAGGGCTAATTAACAGGAAAACAAGCTGCTGAAACAAACTTTCTGGAATAAACACAGAAGTGGATGACACCCCTTAAGAGGTGGTATAGGATTTACAAAAAATTTTAATAGAAAATTTTAATGGATTTTAAGTCATTATTTATGTTATTTTAAGTGGACTGCAACATGCGATTTTAGCACACATCAAAGCAGTGTAGCAGTTTGGAAGCACTGGAACACGTGAAGATGGGCATCTATGGCCAAAACATGTCGTGTTAAGTGTTAAATGGTGAATAAACAATTGTGGCATTATTGACAGACTGTGAACACACAGACGTTTGGTTAAAGATTTGAAACAGGATGCAGAAATACAGAATATTAAATATGCTAAATACACGGTGAAAGCTTAGCACTGTTGCCATGTTTGTAAATTTTGATTTATAAACAATACTTCATATATAATGTATTAGGTATGTTAATGACTTATCGCCATATAAAATTTCACATGCCCTGCTCCAATGGCTTATTAGATATTACCTTCAAACAGAAAGCTAAAGAAAATGTTTGTAGATCCGCCATGCTGTTTATTTTACATTTTACAGAAAAAGTTATCTCAATAAAGTTCCATATTTTTCAGATTTATTACCACACACAATTTCAGACCCCTAAATTAAATAAATTCTTCAACCTCACAGGCTGGGGAGGTCTGCAATGGCAAATAGTACACATGACAATCAGTCAAGTGATTCAGAAGTTTAAATGAACAGGTGTGTGCTGCCATACACATACAGACACAAAACCAGCATGGTAATTTTACAAGGGTCGGATAAAAAGTAGTGGCAACACCTCTATAGTTCTGAAATGACTTTATTACCTGAGGTAAACACACTTACATTCCTTCAATATAATCGCTCCCCATGTGTACCACCTTCTGCAATGGAAGGCGTCGTACACCATCAGTGCGTCTACTTCTGCTGATGTCCAGCAGTGACTGCCCTACAGCATGAATAATCTCCTATTTTGTTTTGTAACATGTCCCTCGCAGTGGTTCTTTCATTTTGGCAAAGAGATCATAATCGCATGGACTCATATCAGGTGAGTATGGCGGATATTGCAGTGGCAAACGAGATCCTTGACAGCATCAGCAGTATGAGCCCTTGCATTGTTCGTTGCCAACAAGTGTTGTCGCTTTCTCCTGAGTGTTGGACGATGATGATTATGCAGGAAATTGCAGTAGTAAGCAGCGTTTACCGGCTGTCGTTGAGGTACAGTGTGGTGCAGTATCACTCCTTCAATGTCATATGCCACAATGAAGATCGCCTTCACATTACTCTGTGTAGGGCTCACTTTCTTTGGACGAGGAGAGCCAGGATGCTTCCATTCATTTGATTGTCACTTCAAGTGTGGTTCGTATGAGTGAGCCCAAGTTTTGTCCAGAGTGACGATTCTTCCGAGGAAGTCATCACCTTCCCTCTGGTACCCATCCAACAAGTCCTGTGCAATTGCATAATGTTGCCATTGTTGCACCTTGGACATTGTATGGGATATCCAACGCACCACAATTTTTCAGTATCCAAGAATATCCTGCAGAATGTAGAGCATGGTTTTGTGACATATGCCTATCTCAGCAGCTAACTCCTGCGCAGCCCATCGATGATCGACATCCAGCAAAGAAGCAAGAAGCTGAATTGTGTGGTTGTCAACGTGGGGTCATCCTGAAAGGCAACTCTCTCTTCATGGAACAATTTCACCCATCGTGCCACTGTGCGATATGGCAAAGCAGCATCGCCACATGCTTCTTGCAGTCACTGATAACAGTTTTGTGCACTACGACCTTGTGCAACTTCAATTTTTATCCAGGAGTGTTGTTCTTGTTTCGTAAACATGTTGTTAGGGCGCTTGAACTGGGCCCCTGCACTTCAAGACGATGCCCAGTGCAACTCAATGAAACACAACCACAGCCACTCACTGCATTACTTCAATTGAACTTCTGAAATCAGCTACAGAGAGCGCTAGTGCCACCTGATGCACATCTTTCATGTTACAGCAGTGTTACCACTAATTTTTATCCAACCCTTCTATAAGCACACTAGTTTTCCTTAAGAAAGCAGCAGGCTAGAAAAGAAATAGAAACAAACCCCATAATAGATTTAAAATTCTACAACTCCTATATCATCATCATCATCATTTATGGCTGCATTTCTAAGTTCAGAGATGTTCATTCCTGCATTTGTGGTCTTGTTACTGTATGTTGTTAGAGTGGGATGTCAGCTACTGGCAGCTTCTTTCTGAGAATATATTTCAAGCTACAGCACATATATAATTAGGGGTCATGTCAGTGCTCTATGAATGTTTTCAGAACAGTCATTTTACTAACCTGATGTTACTATAGCTGTCAAAAGTGGTATCCACCATCCAAGTAGATTTTCAGACAAAAATCACAAACATTCAGATCCAGGCATCTTCATGATATGAGCCATGACACAACATAAACAGATTACAGCAATAAAATGTATACAGTACATTTCTGGTAATAATGCATTTGTGGTGTCCAACCACAGTGTTATGGCAGTCAGCAATTACTGAGAGTTAGCTATGGGTATTTCAAGGACAGAGAACCAGCAATAATCACAAAAAATTCAATGTCAACTCTGGTCTGTCTTTGATGAAAAAATAATCAGCTGAGTATTATGAACTCTGTGGTGAAATTTGAGACAGACCGTCTAAACAAATAACCCATGTTATACAGATCACTTACCTCAATGTTATCTTAAGAATTTCAGAAAGTGATGTTCAGTATATCACAGTATTTCTTCCATTGGCACGAAATTCATTTGGATATTGATTAATATTTTCAACTGCTATTGTAATATCAGGTAAGCAAAGTAAATATTTATGAAGCACAGACGCAACCTCCATTTAAATATGTGCAGTAACGTGTCAGTCTTACTGGAAAGCAGCTGCTCACTAGCTGGCAACATGTTCAGAAAACAGACAGTAACAAGTCCACAAATGATGAAATGGACCTCTCTGTACAGCCACAATTTCTTTAATTAAAAATTTTATATTTCCAGAGAATGAATACATTTACAAGAATTTAAAGAGGAAGAACAAGTCCAAATTGTTAAACAGGCCATTCATGATTAGAACATTAAAAAAAAAAAAGGAAATTTAACCTTTGGTTAAGTACTATGCAAATAAAAACTGCAATTCTAGCTTCTATTTAATTCATTTCTAAAAATTCTGACTTGGAAAAAGTTGAAAATGGTGACATTCAGAACTGAAGAAGAAAAGACAGCTTGTTTGCTCACTCACTTTGTGACAAAAGGGCCTGCATATTCTGCTCAAACTGAACAGCTGCTTGTTTGATAAATTCTTCTGACCATTTTGCATCCACTGTCTCACTTTTGGTACTTGTATCACTGCAGCTTGTATTATCGACTGTTCTGCTGGGTGGAAGTTTGTCGAAGTCATTTAAAGCACCTTAAAAAGATCATCATTATTAAAGTAACATTAGTCCAGAGGCTTCCAGATTTCTTCTCTTCACAAAACCCTTTCAATCATTTTTAACCTGACCTAACTTTCTGAACATAGTGAATTAACTGAAATGAAAGCTAAACAGATTTGTCACAATGAAGAAAGTCGTCTTCTGGGTTTAGGCGCCGTGTATTCTTCGTTTTGGCCGACGTTTCGGAGGATCGTATCGCCTCCATCTTCAGAGCAGTTGAATGGCTTGGAATGCAGAGAGCAGTAGCTGTAGTGATAGGAAGTGCAGTAGCTGTAGTGATAGGAAGTGAACCTTTCACTTCCTATCACTACAGCTACTGCTCTCTGCATTCCAAGCCATTCAACTGCTCTGAAGATGGAGGTGATATGATCCTCCGAAACGTTGGCCAAAACGAAGAATACACGGCGCCTAAACCCAGAAGACGACTTTCTTCATAGTCATCGCCGTGAAAACCTCAAAACTTACAGATTTGTCACAAATTCAGCACTCCAATGCTAGCATCCAAACTGTAATCATACACAGAAATATTAAAAATACAGTTCTTGAATGCAATAACACACGAAAACAAACCCACTTAATTGGAACCAATGGAACTTCTGAGATCCTGTGAAGAGCACAGAACATCAAACTTCAGCTCAATGGAAATAATATATTTCTCCATCAAGCTTACTGTGGAATTTTTACATTACCAAGGCATAAGATGGAAATGCAGTCCCAGAAACATATGTAACTTAAAACAGAATAAGACAATTACCTGCTCTTTCACAATGCAATGGATATTCTACATATACATTAGTATGTGGTGCTGCATAGTTTGGGAGACAGGTATCAATGTTGTGGGGACCTGCTGCCTCCACCTTCGGAGCATTTCTACCTTAAAGGAGGAGGCAGCAGGGTCTTCCAAAATATTGGCACTTATGTACAAACAGATATGGCAAGAACCTTAACTAGACATGCAAGAGCAGAGAGACTGTGAGAAAGCCAACATCAGATGGACTAATATCATCTGCTGTGTGTTTCCCTCTCCATGCCGTTTGCTTAGTCCTCTCTTCAAAATTTACTTCTGTGCATCAAAGGACAGGGCTCTTCCTCACAGAAGTTAGTCTACCACACCACAGAGCTTCATGCCCCAGCACAATTTCTGTCAAGATGCTTGCCAAATAGCATGGCTTTTTAAACTTACCAAGCTTAACCCACATTGACACAGTAAGCTTTGACAAATTCTTTTGAATGAATGTACCAAATAAAGTGTAAGCTATGCTCAAAAGGCGAACTGAGCTGCATCACTTTTAACAACTGAGACACCATCCTTATTCAGATTATGGTCTTCTATGTGACCCCATACACTCTTATAAATGGATTAGGAGGAATGTTCTGCTTCTCTCTTCAGTGTTGAAATGTGTAGAGAGAAGATATGGCTTAATTACATAGGGAGGTCACGAGGAAGTGGTCAATGAGAGTAATGAGTAAGGACATGAAGCCTGATCCAGGTCATTCGGATGGTGGATAGGAAAATGGTCCTTTTCAAGAGCATACTCAGTTTTTGTCACATGTGAAAAATAGAAAAGTGGGAAAGAATTGGCCATTTCCATGGAGATAATAGGTTTTCATGAAGAAAATGGAACTTGAGAAAGACAGCCTGTTTCAGGGTTCCCATATGCTTTCATCTCAGGAGGGAATTTTGAACCCTAAAATTAAGAAGAGATATCCTTCTTCAGGGACCTTAGGGATGGGAAGTAGATTGTGAGGAATCAGCCACTGAAAAGGAAACCCTTCTCACAATTCCACTTTTCCTCCTGAACACAACAGTGTCCCTGGAAAGGGCCCAATTCCTAAACCTACACACTCAACCCTAATGATGAATGCAAAGTGTTCCTCCAAAAGACTGGTGTCTACCTAGAACACTACACAATGTCACAACCCACAACGACTACACTCTGAACAATCAACATCATGAAAACCACAAAATATGTATCATTCTTACTACTTAATAATGCGTCTAGTTCTTCATCATGCTCTACATCTGCCGAACCTGCAGCAGTCACCTCATCCACTGCTGTATCATTCTGATCCTGATGATCAGCCATACCTATAAGGGCAAGTCAACTATTTATTAGCAGTCACCTGCACTGGTACTAAGCAAGATGTCACAGCACAGACATGAGTGACCAGCATAGTTCACTACAAGACTGGAATACTGAGATTAGTCTTCTGGGACATGAAACCATGTAGTATGGTAGAAAGGTACCAACACTTCAGATGAATCTTTATGGTATGAATCTTGTTCAGATGAACTTGCTTGCCTCCACCTTTGTGGTGAAAGAAGTACAAAACACTGGCATCTATAAATGAAATGTATATGGCATAAGATATGAGTAAAATTTGTCGTTCAAGTCATATTTGTCACACAGTTTCCAGCTTATTAAAATTAAAGAAACTGACTGAAGTAATTTTTAAAAACAGTTACATCTTATCATGCAAGAAAGTGGAGCATGGTGTGCTGCAAGGCTCAGTTCTAGGGCCACTTTAATTTTTGTTATACATTATATATAAATGACACCACAAAAAATGACCATGGGGCAAAGATGGTCTTATTTGCAGATGATACAAATTTGCTGATTACCGGAAGACGAGTCTGACCTTCAACATCAAATAATAAATGTTATGAGAAGTTAGAAATATGATTTCATAAAATAATCTTATAATAAATACTGAAAAAACAATTGCTATGTCATTTCATTTAAAACATCTGAGATTTTCTCAAAGACTGCAGATAACCTTAAAAATATAAATTCACCTATCAGTAATGAGATTCCTAGATCAATATTACGGATAACTTAACATGGGGCACTCATGCCTCATCATTAATAACAGAGCCATGTAGATTAGTATATATGATGAAAATATTAAAGGAAACAATGAGCCCTTATATGATAAAAAACATTTCATACTGAATTTTCACTCATGTCTGAGGTATGGCATTATATTATGGGGTGGGGATAGTGATAGTATTAACATTTTTAAACTGCAAAAGAAGGCCCTTCTGAATAATTAGTGGACTCAGTAATCATACGTCACGCAGGCAAATATTTAAAGACCACAATATATAACACTGTCTTCTTTATACATACTAGAAGTATTTATTAAAAAATATAAAAACTCTATGGTAAAAAATATGGATATCCATAATCATAATAAGCAAAAAAATGAAATTTACACATACAACACTGTAATATATTACATTATATTACACTGCATTGCATTGCATTCCATGGATACAAAGTTAGTCAAAATGACTGTAGGATGTGGAATACGTCACATAAATACAAAACATATGTACAGACCCAATGAAGTTCTCCACAAGAGAAACCAAGATTACACAGTGACTACACACAAGGCTATATAAAGATACATAAGTTATTTTCTAGACAATAGGTATTCATCAACAGAGTAGAATAAATGTGTATTTAAGTATCATTTCAGTGCTATTTTAAATCGTGTCTTTTCATTCATAAGACCTTTGAGATCAGATGGCAGGTTATTAAAAATGATGATCCCAGCATAATATGCAATTTTCTGAAAGCATGAGAGGTTAGCAATTGGTTTATGAAGACAGTGTTTGTGTCTTGTGATAACACTGTGTCCATCTGCAATCATCTGAAAATGGTCTTCGTTATTTGTAATGAAGTTTATTAATTTACATACATGGGGGTCCAAAAAAATGTACCGTAACTGGTCAGGTGTATCTCAATGTGCCTCAGACATCGATTTTCCTTGCCATTCGACAGCTGTTTGGAGATGAGAGATTTTACCTACAGCAAGATGGTGCTCCACCTCACTACCATCGAGATGTCAGGGCATACTTGGATGACACTCTACCTGGACAATGGATAGGTCGAAGAGGTGCTATTGAGTACCCACCACGGCTTCCAGACCAAACACCTCCCGACTTCTACCTATGAGGAACCTTGAAGGATGAAGTTTATCGACAAAACCCAGCTACACTGAACGCACTACAAGAAACCATCGAAGCATCGTGTGCAGCCATCACACCGGACACACTGACAGCTGTAGTTTGTTCTGCAGTTCGGCGGCATCGAGGCTGTTTAGCCGCTGATGGTGGTCACTTTGAACACAGACAATGACTCTCTCTCTCTCTCTCTCTCGCCATGCAAGGATTGTAACTACATGTTATTTTGCTCCAAAGATATTGACTATCACAGAGTGAGTACATATTTTTGGACCCCTCTGTATATATTCGCAAGACAAAGTTACGATCTGTAGTCTCTTAATTACATTCCACTATGTGCATGAGTGGAAATGAAACCAGCACTGCTCTTACAAATTCAAAACAACTCCGTCCAGTGTGACTATTTAAGTTTTACTACTTGAAAACTTTGCATCCTTACATGTTTCGATCCTTACGTACCTACTGTGATAGCAGTTTCCAAATAAGTATTGATGTTCCCTCTGAAGATGATCCGTAAGGATCGAAACATGTAAGGGTGCTAAATTTTCAAGTAGTAAAACTTAAATAGTTACACTGGACGGAGTTGTTCTGCCTTTGTAATTGCTAGTGTGACGGACCTGAATGAAACCAATGAGCACTGCTCTTACCTATATTCTGCTAATTCCGCTTAATTAAGACCGATTAATACACAATTCACTTCCCTTCCATTACATGCATGAACTGCAGAACTCAGCGATGCTCAGCGACACCACGACATGCATCCACACATATATCAACATAACGTAGTAGGCGCCAGGAGGCGCAGTATCACATCCATTTTAGACAATAGAATTCGTTCTATTTATCAATGTCATATTCTATATATGCTTAGTACTACTTATTATATGTCATGTGATAAGTTAACTGTGTTCACAACAGTTGATTTCGATCATTTAGTACCCATGAAAGTTTGAAATCCGCAGTTCCAAGGTCTGTGTGAATTAATTGAGGTTGGTCACATTGTTACAGTTTAAATGACTGACGTTTAGTATCGATAGTTTGCTGTGTAGCATGGTTGAACGTATTCTTAACCAGCTTAGGTCCAAGGATGGATTTGTCAAAAATGAAAAACGATAAGAAGCTCTACCTTTGCAGATGGTATTACCGAGGTAGGTTTGCTAGTAACAACGGAAATGTGTATTTCAGTGCGATATTAATCATTGGACTCTAATATGAACTGTTTCTTTTAGCTGGATTTGCATTTCTGCCGTTTCTTTGGTGTGTAAATGCAGTTTGGTTCTTCGCAGAAGCGTTTAGGAAGCCACCATATGAAGAACAAAGAGAAATAAGAAAGTGTAAGTTTTGGACAAATACCAAAAACTGTAAACTAGGAAGGTTTATTGCTTCAATTAAGTGCAACCTCCCCCCCTCTCCGAAGAATCCATATTAGGGTTCAAGCCAGCACTGTCGTCATCCCATCACCGAGATTACGCAAATATTTACACCCAGGTATGGGAGTCTACTGCCCAGGAGGACAAACTTTTGGGAAACTTAGAAGACAGGGAAACACAATCAATTTGTTGAGCACCACAAAGAAGTTACTGAAATATAATGTGTAGGTGCAGGGAAAGACTTTTTTAATTACTTTTCAGTCATGTTTAGTTCTTTAGCCACTCACATGCATATTACATGGTACTTTCAATACTATTTAATGTTAGAGAAGTTATTTCAAAACAGTATCACTAACATTCTTTGTCAGTTTTTGGCATGTATGGCAGCACAGCCTGAATATTACTTTTCATTTTTTTTAGATACATTCCTTTTCCGATTTTTAATGAATGTGATACCAGGAAGGGGGTACGCGGTAGCGTAGTTGGTTGAGAGGTTATGCTACAAGCCGGAAGGTCGCAGGTTCAAGTCCCGATGAGGTCATTGGATTTTTTCAGTTGACCTAATCCTTCCAGCCGCACTATGGCCCTGGGGTCGACTCATCCTCTAACAGAAACGAATACCAGGAATTAATTAAATAATTTTCCTGCGGAGTAAAGCGCGTAAGGCTGACAACCTTACTGCCATATATGAGCCGATTGTCCAGATAATGTTGGACCCTCAACGTCTCACAATCCTCTGGGCCATCACGGCCTGTTACAGGGATAACTTTACTTACTTTACGTGATATCATGAAGAATTTCATCAAAAGAGATTACATTTTGTTTATTTATACACTTTAGTGTTTTTCTTCTGTTATTGATTGCTGGTTCTGAAAAGGATTTTTTGTAGTGAATGTTTAATTGGTCTGTCTGATTGATGGAATGGAATCAGTGGAAAATTAAGCTTTTTTGCAAGAAACTGGATATCATAAAAATCATTTGCAGACATTATAGTAATTTCAGGTTTCTTGGACTTATTTAACAGACTTTTCAGCAGGCAAGGAAGACAGAATGGCCAAAATATTTCAGTTTCCACAGGATAATTGTGCTGTATTGTAGATACCGATTGATTCATCATTTCCAGGGACATTACTAGGTTTTTGTTCTGTGGAACACATGGATCAGGCCACAGTATTAAATATTTGACTGACTGTGTAGTGCGGTTGGTATAGCGACTGGCCATGGGCTGGGCAACCAAAGGGTTCAGAGTTTGAATTCTGGTGGAATCAAGATTTTACCATTCTCATTGTCCAGATCAGATCTGGGCCTACCCAGCCAGGGGTTCTTCCTCCTGGGTAAAGTGGCCAGAGCATGAAGCTGGCCACTCCCACATATTCCTTCATGGTATAGTGCTTAATTGGATAAGCACAGGAACAACTTATCTTTTTATATCCCTCAACACAATTTTTTAAATTTTCAGCACAGCACATGTAGTGTAGTTTGCAGTGCTCTCTGCCACCCTTTCATACCACACATCACGATAGGTTTTTCCAGTACTGAAGCAGTGAGCTATTATGTTGTGTTAATTTACATTTATATAAACAATTGAGACATCAGAATGTGACATGAAACAAATTTTCCTAATCAAATGACACAGCAGTTTTATATATTATAATATAAACTCTGTTGTAAATGTAACACTTTATCGTAGTTCTTGTCCCCCTTCTTCCACAGTACGTTTTGGCCGCAACCGGCCATCATCAGGTGTATTTCACTTCATGTAGCTTTCACACTGCACTCAATATTAACATTTAAACCCCAGATTTACAACTGTTCATTGCTCTGTTGTCAATCGGCACTCGATAAAAATTGTAAATCTGGAATTTAAATGTTAATATTGAGTGCAATGTGACAGCTACGTGAAGTGAAATATACCTGATGATGGCCGGTTGCGGCCAAAACGTACTGTGGAAGAAGGGGGACAAGAACTACAATAAAGTGTTACATTTATGACGGAGTTTATATTATACATATAGAAGTGTGGAATGTAACAGGATGCTTAAATATAATATAGACACAACAGTTGTTTGGTTGAGTTATAATTCTTTCTGGATGAGCACACATTTCAGTGGTTCAGTCATCAAAGTGAAAAGTGTTTGAAGCTCAATACACTTTATGGTACACTGGACCATTTGTTCAGAAAGCTTATAAAATCTTATTATATAGTATGCCTGCGTAGACAATATTATTATATAACTTTTGAATCATTCATGGTAATACTATAAACTTTGTTTGTGCAGATGTGGTAATGTCTGGAATTGGTACCATTATATGGACTGCAGCTCTGACAACATGGATAACAGTATTTCAGTTGTACCGAGCAGAATGGGGAGAAACTGGAGATTGGATATCATTCATTATACCAACAGGAATACCATAGCATTTGTAGTTAAATATAACGAGTGAAACAAACTTTCTCACTAAGATGACATATTTTTGAGCTGTTGAGCTTTGACACTCCTAGGTTCCACATGAGCAAGTCCAGGATATGCATTCCAGAACTTAATTCAAAATCTCTTAAAGGAATTTTATAGCAGCAGACATTATGATTCATGTCTTAAATTACATTATTTCAAGTTATATTGTATTTCAAATAAATATTTTGTTAAGTTTAAAGTGTTACAATTTCATAGTTCTTTCATGCTTGGTCTCCCTAAGTGGGACAAAAAGACATTTATACCACTCCTTAGATCCTTACCACTGTAAAAAAGTGTGAGGACGTTGTGATTACACACCTGTCTCCAAGTTTTAATATTAATTGTTCCTGTTGTAAATTTAGTGTGTATATATATAATTTTCCGATAAATATTTAATTATCATCAGTGCAAAATCAGTAAGAGTTTTATATATGCATATATATTGTAATGTGGATGGCACAACAGGAAGTAGGGGTCACGTGAACTCTGCGTTTCCACGAGTGATGTCACGCAACAGGCGAGTCTGTGCGGTGACTATTGCTAGGCAATGCATAGGTAGAAACACCTGACAGCAATACCTGATATCTGTTGCCAAGCCTAATTAAGGAGCAGCAAACACTATTCATGAGTAGTGAGGATTGAGCCAGTTACTAGAGACAGAGTTACTAGTATCTAGTATGAATTTTAAGTCCACCAGCTATGAGTTGAGTTGTATCGAGTGAATGGCAGTGACTCCAGCAGCAGAAGTAATTGTCATACTGCAGATGGCAGTAATTAAAAAATTGTGAATTGTGTAACTGTAAGAGCGAATGTGGAATAAATTCGCTATATCGAGGACAGCGTGAAGTTATTTGTCGTGTTGCATACCCAACACATGACAATATATACAAAAGTATTTCACTTTTTCCGAAAGAAATGTAAAATGTTTAGCTTGAAACTGTTTACCAATTTTTCACTGATGATAATTAAATATTCTGTCAGAAAATTTTGTACAATACTTCCCTCCTAAGTGAATCATAGGCTTTCCTGAAGACTGCAAATAGATGATGACTGTCTCATTGTACTCCCATTTCTTCTCCAGTATCTGACAAATGCAAAAAATCTGATTTGTATGTGATCTGCTATATCAAAATCCACACTGATGATCCCCAATAATTTCATCTATGTATGGACTTGACTCTGAGAGAAGAATATTGCATAAAATTTTGTATGAAGTTGATAGCAGTGATATCCCCTGATAATTACGACAGTCAGTTTTATCACCCTTCATGTGAACTGGTACAATAATAGACTCCCACTGATCAGGCAATTCTTCCTTATTCCAAATAGAATTAATTAGCTTATGGATCTTAGAACATAATATTCCACCATCAGCACTCCTTTCCTGTCCCAGAAACAGTAGCCATCAGCTTGCTGGCAGACATTTCTTTAAACTTTTTTGACTTGTTTGGTGAATGTGTGTGCATCCACTTTTTTTTTATTGCTAGTGGGGTGGGACTAAGTCCCTTGTACTGTGGAGCAATTGGTGGAATGAAGATTGGCAGGGGAAACCGAAGTACTTGGAGAAAACCTGCCCCAGCGCCACTTTGTCCACCACAAATCCCACTTGAACAGACCCAGGATCAAACCCAGGCCACCACGGCAGGAAGCCAGCGACTAACCACTTGAGCTGTGGCGCAGCCAACTGCTCTTTGGTTTCAGCATTCACAAATGAAACCCAGGTTTTATCGCCTGTTACTCGTATCATGTGATTGAGAAATTCATTGGCATCTTTCTGGTATCATTCTAAAAGAGTCAAAGCTGAAGCCATCCTCTGCTTTTGGTGTGCACCCACCAACAGTTTCAGAACCCACCCTGTGCAAAATTTGTGACAGTCTAGCCTAACTGATAATCTTGTAGAGAAGATACACAAAATTTGAGAAAACTCATATGAAAAGTTCTGAAATTGTGAAGCACTATCACAAATTTTCTGGTCGACACTAATCAAGATTATCACTCACTACAGATGGCTGACCACTGTTTGCCAGAAAGTGGATAAGAGCACAAATTTTGCAGCTGGTGGGATTATCAATCACAGGACACATTATAACTCACTCTGCAGAGAGAAGAACAAGCTGCTACCTCACATGTGTGAGTTCTCCCCTACTCCTACATTAGTTGCTTAAAATAAACAGAGGTTACTTTCCCAATAGTCCTTGTATATATAAGAACATCTGAGAGGCTTGTCTTGACACTATTTATTGGTAGTACTATTCCCCATCCATTTTCAGTTATTACTTTTCACTGGTTTTCTTAAAATCTGCAAATACTGTAGCTGGCATACTGTACATATCAACTGCCATATAATCATACTTTGTTGAAGTATTAAAACATAATCCACATGGATGATCACTGATAACTTCTTCATGAATGGTGTTAACAGTACCAGGAAAATATTGAATCAAGTTTTGTACAATGTTGACACGAGGTATTCCTCACTGCTGCCATTGTCTCCACATAGGTATAATAATGGTGGCCCAGGTTTGATCCCGGGGTAACTGTGACGTTTTTATGTCACATGTTACAGGTGGTAATGATGCCATTCTCTGTGAGGTTGGCCAAACCACAGCTGTGTCTTGGTGGGGACGTATCATGGACCACGGATTCACTGGAACACCACCTCATGGTCCCGCTGGGCAATGACAGACTTGGGGGTATGGATCAGTATGACCTACCAGGGCTGGCGGCTGAGTTCCCATAAAGGGCAATGGCATTATGACTGGAGCCTCCCACACGGCAGCATAATGACTCTTGTGTGTCACTACGGTGTACCCGGACGAATGCGGGAGAGCACTCCTATGGGGTAGCTTCGGCTATTTGAGTTGTCTCCCTAGAGTACCGATAAGTTGCCACAAGCCTTAGGGCTCAACACACTAAAACGGTTTGACCAACCCATGTGGAGAGGTGGGAATGGGGGAGCTTATAGGCCAGCCCCAGGGGCGACTCAGTCATGCAGGTTGCCCTGGTTGCAACCTCATGACTAACTGGTGTTGCACTCCCATTAATCATCTGGGATACCCCCCCCCCCCCAAACAGGCACTCTGGGTCCTGGAGGCTTGTGAGGGTTTCATTCAAACGGGACCAGACCACCTAAGCCAAGGTGTGAGGCATCGTGCAGAGGGCTGCATGGCACTGGGGTGGTAATTAGCCAGTGTCTTGAACGATCCCCTCGGGGCACCAGGCAGCACCCTGTTGTATATATGCCTTTCACCCATATGGGGCGCTGCGAGTGGCGACCTTTAAAACTCGCGGGACCAAAATGAAAGGAATCAAGAACAAAACCGGTCATAAGGACCTTAAACTGAAGAGGGACCCCCTCCAAGGGGATCCCTATGAGAACTGCTTCAGCAGGGGGGCTCGAAGCCCTGGTGAACCACTGAGGGACCCAGGTGCAGCCAGCAAACCTGCTGTTGAATTTTCAGCCAAAGGCAGGGATGAACCAGTGGTTCAGAACTTACCTGAGGCAAAATTAAAAACTATTGGGAGTCAGTAGTACTGACATACCACTACAGGGGGCTGGTACCTCTAGCATACCTGCAGTAGGAGAAGGATTGGGATACCTAGTCGCTGGAGTGGGTGGACTCCGTCTAGTGAAAAATGCCTCGTCCGGATGCTCCAGATGGAAGTTGAAAAAGGCAAGAGCTGGGGCAAGCATACCAGGAACTGGGGGGCAGTCAGCAACCAGGAAATGCAGGCTCGTCCAAACAGGGAGAAACCCCCACCGGCACTTTTAAGAGGCCAAGGTCGGAGGGCAGTACCCCTACAGAAACGGCCATAACCCTGAAAAGGCCCAGGGACTCTAAGGGACCAGCGACTTACAAGGAGGCTCTGACCAACATAAAGGTAGCTATCTTCAAGGAAACTTATCCTGAGGAAAAGCTTACCGAACATGACCAGAATTCCATTCTGGAAGCAATGGGGTAGGTATTACGTGGGACTCCAAAGGGAGAACTACCACACCTGAAATCCTACAGAATAGTGGGAGGTGCATGCGCCGACCAACAATCTGGTCAATGGCTCACCAAAGCCATTGACAACTACAGGCTGGAATCGGGGGCCAGGCTGAAGGCTACTGATGCCAGGAACCTGCCCAAGCCTGTTAAAGTGGCTCTCCGGGTTAGGGACAAAGTTGCCCAGAATCAGAAAGAGCTGCTGAAATGGACTGCAGACCTCGATCCAGGACTTCATACTGAAAACTGGAGGGTACTAGATAAGCAATCTGAGTCGAAAGGCCAGAGGCTTATCTTATTCATAGACTGGGGCTCTTATACTATTATACAGAGGACCCCTTACAAAATATTCACAGGATTCTCACAGGGGACTGTTAAGATGCTGTATGATCCTGAGGTTCAGTGCCGGGCAGAACCTGTGTCAGATACAGTATCATCCAACTTGGCCTCTGAGGGGGAGGGGGATGATGTACTCACTCCCTCAGTTGACGAGAAGAGAATATCTGATGAGAAGGAGACAACCCCTCCTCTCATCAACCTGACCTTACCAGATCAGGGACCTCCCTCAGAGGAAACCAGGTCTGATAAAGGAAAAGGGGCTGTGGAAGAAGGTAATTAGGAGGACAACTTTCCCAGTATTACAGAATGAACTCACAGCATACATACATCCACATGACATTTACACATAAAATATGATTCATTCAGGTTAATCTATACCACAGCAAGGCTGCTACAGCAATTTTCTGTAGACAACTTGCTGAAGGAAAAGTAGACATAGCACTTATTCAGGAACCTTGGATATATAGGGGCCAAATAAGAGGCTTAACAAATTCAGGGGGGACAGTCTACTCTGTGGTACCTGAAGAAAATATGAGATCATGCAAATATGTTAATAATCATATTAATGCTTTACCCTTGCTGGAATTCTCTTCCAGAGACACAACGGTGAGGATGACATACACATTGGGTAGAGCCTGTGAGGAGCTCATCGTCACTTCAGCCTACCTTCCATATGACTCAGATGAACCACCACATTCCAAAGAAGTGAGGGACATACAAGGGGGGACCCAAAAATAACCGGAAACGACCTGTTGCGCGTGCATGCTGTGTAGTTACGAGTTGTGCTGCTAGGTGGTGTTAGCTG